AAAAAAAAAAAATCCTGTATATAAAAAAAAAAAAAAAAAAAAAAAAGAATAAAAGATGGCTGATCCTTAGTGCTTGTACAAAAATTACTGGTCTTTTTTTCTAGTAAATGAGAGTCGCGGGCCAGACTCTCAGCTAAATGTCTCTAGTAAAACTTAAATATGAAAGCAGAGACGGCACTGAAAATGGTGATACTATATATGAAGTTTTATACTTTACAGAAAAAATCTGTAGAACTGTTTAACTTTTAGAGAGCTGATAGATTTCAAAAATAGTTGAGAGACTTAGAAATGCGTTCTACTTTTTATCTTTAACATACTGGGCTCTGTAAATCTTAATTTAATTCATACTACCAAAGATTACTATGAACTTAAACGGAGAACCGAAAGGAAAAGGCAAGGGAAACTTGCCTGAAATATTTGATAGCATGATTCTGTTTGTTCTCGAGCATACTGATTTTTTTATCACATGAAATATCTGGCTATGTTTATTGGTGTGTGTGCGTGTGTGTGTGTGTGTGTGTAAAACTCAATGTGCTGTTAGGAGTTGGGCCCTGGATGGAGGAAGCAGGCCACTGGGAATATGTCTTTAAAGAGTATGCCATGCTTCTAGCCTCTTCCTCTCTTTTCTCATCTTTCTTTTTTTGTTTCATGACTGCCATGAGGTCAGCAGCTTACCTCCGCCATGCATTTCTACCATGATGTTTCTGCTTTGCAGCTAAGTAACTATGGATTAAAACCTCTGGAACCAGAGCCAAAATACACATCTCTTTCTTTAAAATATGCCTATCATTGTGCTCGCTTCAGCAGCACATATACTAAAATATGTCACATATTTTATCCCCCAAAAAACCTGACTAATGTAGTTGATTACGTATGTAAAGGGCTGACTGTATGAGATGATAATAACAGTGATGACTAGGACAGAATAATACACAACTCTGCTTTGTTATACAATTGTGCCAAGAGTAGATCACCACATCCTAGGTTAGAGTAGGAATATTAAAGAAGTGAAATTTTGAACTTGCCTTTAAAGTCTTGCCGAGTACACAAGGTTAACATCTGGTTGGCTGAATATTTTAAAAATAATTAATAAAAGACAATTCTGAAATGCTTTGAGGCTCCTACAACTATGGTTCTATCATTGCAGCAAGAGGGCATACTTTGGAGATTAGAAAGACAGCACAATTTAAGTCACCAGTGACCAGAAAACAAACTTTGTATATCTCATCCAACTGCACAAGCAGTAAGATAGGTAATTTTTCATTGAAAATAAGGACACCAGGGCCGGGGATTTAGCTCAGCGGTTCGGGGGCCTGCCTTGCAAGTGCAAAGACCCGAGTTCAATCCCAGGTACAGAAAAAAAAAAGAAAATAAGGACACAAATTAATCCCATTTTCTGAAGCCTTATATAGTAGGTGACAGTTTAAAAGTTGAATGAAAGTTTCAAAACATTTCAAATTGCATTAAGTTACTTATTGATGTTCACTGTGCTGAAACTGAAAGCTGCCTGATAGTGAGCTATGGATAAATTTCTGAAAACATAATAGCAAGAGATCACTGAAGTTGGTACTGAACCTTACCATCTGGGAAAATATTTGTTTTAATCTAAATAAAAAGTACTGTTCATTTTTTCTGTAGAATGATTGTCTGAAGTATGGATAAACAAATTAACACCCACTTAATACATTAAGAATCTGAAATTCTAAGACACAGTTAGCTGAAGATCAATAGGGAGTCAGTCTATTGGCAAAGGCAACCCCACTAATTTATAATAACCTCAAATTCAGCACATTTTTCTATTATGCCCATGCTACACAAGTTTCAGAATACTAGAAATATTCTATCATTTAATAAAGAAATGTTAATGTATTTTATAAAGGAACAAACTCTGAATACATATATAAACCTGGATTATTTTATAATTAGTATTAAGCTACTACAAAATCCAAATATTAAGTTAAATATCTAAATGTATCATAATACATTACATATTTTTATGACAGGACTCTTATTCCAATTTTAAATGTCTGATACCTTCCTCTAAACTTCAAGAAATGAAATTATCTCTAAACAGACTTGACTTTGAAGCTTATTGACTAAAATAAACTGAAATGATACTTACAAAAACTTTATCTCCCACTACATTTTCCAGATGTAACTGCCTTGTGATTTCCTTCAGAGCAATTTTATCATTGATCTGTAGTAAACCTGAAATATAGCCCATTTGAAAGTATTTAAATATGTATTTGATACAATTATCTTCCAGTCAAGTTTATTTTCTAATACTTTTTAAATATAATTAAAACAAAACAATCAAAATCATAGTTCACATCACTTCCTTTTAAAAAACCAGCAATAAGGACATCTGATAGAGTCAAAAAACAGACTTCTTTGGGGACAGTATTACTTAGAAAAAGGCAAACAGTAGAGTACTTAAATATTTCCATTATTTTTTAAATTTCCTAAAAATATCATGTAAAGTGTGATAAATTACAGCTTGTTAAAACACAGATCTAGTTTTAATAATGTAATGATTTATATAGATTTAAAACATTCAAATGAGTTTACTTTCATAATATAAAAACCGTATGTACTTCAGAGCATTTCCGATGGCCAATTTATGACATACTTACCATTTAGATAAACTTGTAAAACATTTTCACTCACTTCTTCTATTTCCATGAGTTCTTTTAAAGAATGATTTATTAACTAAATAAATACAAAGTTTATAGAATTTAAATATAGGGCAAGATGAAAAATCCCTATTCTTTATAAAACTATGAGTTGTAAAATCAGAATATAAAACTTGCAAAATAAATTTTCAAATAGTTTACAGATAAAAGATTTAACTAGAACATCTCATGGCTGACTATTCTTAAAGATACTAGAGACACAAATAACCATACACTGCCAATCATTAACCCAAATATGTTACCCTCAACTACAGTTCCTGAAGAACTTCATGTCTTAGTACATTTTATCTAACATATACTCTAAATTTCATTAAAATTAGTTAAAGCTACTGAAAAATTATAAATCAGAAGAATGATAAATGGTAGTCAAGTTTACCCCTCAATAGAGCAATTCCTAGGCAATACAGAATTACTTTGTACATTATCATGAAAATGACAAAAGAAATATCAAAAAGTTAAACTGAAAAAGGAGATATCCTATTAGTTGTTAAGTACATAAAGCCATTATTAAAGAAACTTAAGAGGATGCAATGAAAAAAATACTACTAAATCACTACTAACAATTAATACTAAAATATATAGCTCTACTCAGAAACTGTTGTCACCTTAGTTGTTCAATTATATTATAAAGCTTCGCATTTTTATTATCTATGCCACCGCATTAATAATGTTTCTGAGGAAGCATCCTGTCATTCTGATATTACAACACATGCATCTATTATCATCATGGTACACATTTTGTTAAAATTTGAAAATGAACAGAATTAGAAAAAAACTTTTGAAAGACAAATGCTTAAGAATTATTCCTTCTAACATCAGAAGAAAAGGGTACTCTCACAAAATAAATGGTCTGGAAAGAGCCTGAATATACAAATGTATCAGTGTAGATGATATCAAAATTTAGTGAGGACAAAAAGAATTATTTAACAGTGGCAATGAGACAACTGGAAGCAATTTTTTGTTGTTGTTGTTGTTGAGGCAGGGTCTCCTTTTGTAGTTCAGGCTGGCTTCAAACTCTCGACGACCCTCCTGCCTCAGCCTCCCGAGTGCAGGGATTACAGGCAGGCAACACCATGTTCAGCTGAGCTATTTTTTAAAAGCAGAATACTATTTTTACTTTAATATGCTATTTGCTATCTGTGACTATATCAACTTTGTGCAAAAGAAAGCAAAATTCAACCTCATTTCTTTTTTTCTTTTTTTGATACCAGGGATCGAACTCGGGTCCTTGTGCTTGAGAGGCAGGAGGCAGAACCACTGAGCTAAATCTAGGGCCACTCAACCTCATTTTAAACAGTTAGTTTTCAAAACAGGATATGAAACATGTCAACTATTCCTGTTATAGTTTTCAAAACAGGATATGAAACATGTCAACTATTCCTGTTATTTCTGCACGGTTCCTAAAGCACAAAGAATTCTACGTTAGATCATAGGTAGTCTAAGACCTCTTAAAATGGGAAAAAAATCTCAAGTTATCAACTGTCATACTACGGGACCCTGAAACAATGTGGCAACATAGTTCTTTTTTTGGATCAGGTTAGACCCCATTACAAGTGTACATCCCCCCTACTTGATATAAACCCTGCAAAATATTCTTTTCAGCATGGTTTTCTTAGTAATCCACTGTGTTCTTCCTCTCATCCTTTATATTTTACTTATATAGTATTTACCTTGACTCTTGATTTTTTAAATTCATAAATAATTTTACATTTGGATGAGCTATTGAAAAACATTTTAAATCCTTTACAAAATGTAATACATGTGTTAATAACATTTCATTTTACACATGCCCTAGGATTCTTTCGATTAAACTTTAAATTCCAACTTATTATTTGCAGAACACTGTTACAATGCATTTTGTGTATGGTCAGAAATGATAAACTAAACATATTAGAAAATGTATCTTCAAATAATAATTTTAGTTCCAACGTGGATATTTCTAAAATTTATTCTGTAGTTAACTAGGTAATGAACTGCATATTTTAAGTCCATTGTATAATGGATACACTATGTCATTTCAAATACTTCACATTATACAGTAACAAAAATATTTAACATTATTAATGTTATAACAATATACCAGGATTAATTCTCTTGGACCTGCCAATATCCAAGAACTTTTATGCTCATCAATGATTACTATTTTCAAATACTATAATAAATACAAGATCTATCAATATACCACTAGAAGAAATATCCTATTTAACCATCTTGTAAGTTCATCTATAGTAAATTCTATGTATGTAAGGGACAGGGAAAAACGACTCCTACATGTAGTGAGTCCTGGTCTGCTGTGAGCCACAATAGCACAAAGCGAATTAATTAATAAAGAAAGGAAATGAGACTCAAAGAAGCTGAATTTTGGGCCTGAACAATGCTGCTCTAGGCAGCAAAGAGGAAAGACCCCAGCTTGCCACATCTTTATTTGGTACATCTGGAGTTAACAGATGACTCAGAGGGCAGTGGAGAGATAATCCTAATTCTAGAATAATAAAGAGCAACATATGCAGATGAAGATCCTGGTTCAAAGAGGAATTTATGTTGAGTAGGAATTTGTCCCTCCTCAGGATGTCTTCAGTTGATATAATCCTGCCCTGGAGTATCACAGCATCACTGGACCACTGAGGTTGTAGCTGTGACCAGAGGCAAAAATGGAGTTATGTCTGGACATGCCATAGCCAGCCAGCAGGCAGGAAAACGAGGCCTAATCATAATTTAATTGTGAAATAATTTTCCCCAAAATTATGCAGAACTGCTTCTGACATATGTAGATGCATATTTTCTAGGACTCAACCTGTCAATTAGAACCACATCTATGTTTTTAAATGTTTGCCATCTAAACCACACTATCTGTTACTCTTTTTGATGAATTTTAGTTATTGCATATTTGTATTTCAAGAACTCTGGAAAAACATAGCCTTTAAAATATACTGTATCTTAAAAAAAAAAAAAAAGAAAGAAACTTGGGGCTGGGGATTTAGCTCAGTGGTTCGGTGGCCTGCCTTGCAAGTGCAAGGACCTGAGTACGATCCCTGGTACCAAAAAAAAAAAAGATAAAATATACTGTATCTTATTTTTAATTTGATTTTACATACAGTGCTACTGAGATGTCTAAGAATAAGCTGTATTTAAAAATTTGTTCAACTCCTTTCATATCACAGAATACTACTCATTACACAAATTACAGAAGTGCCACAAGTCAGCGCACCTCATTTCTTCAATCTCTCAATACTCAAGACTACAGCAGGAGCATGAGTAAGTTACAAAAGTAGAATAGGTAGGTGACTCCTTCAGATTTTAGTTAAATAGATAAATGACTCAATGGCACCAAAACATAGTTTCAGTTTAATAAGTAACAATTAGATAAATGTCATCATAACCAAGAACAATATATCCATTTTATTAACTGATAAATACTATACTTTCAGCTATCTCCTTTCAACTTGAGCACACAGAATTAAATCCACATAGGGAGATACAAAAAGACACTATAACATGAAAGAGAATAAAAAACTAAATAAAAAGATTAAATATTATTAAAAGTATGTATTTTATGAAAGAAATATTGTGGGTTATTTAAGCCAGTCTTAAAACAACTAATTAATGCATGAAAAGAGACAGACAAAGAAAAAGATTTTCAGAAAACTAAAATACAGTATCAAATTAGGAGCAAACAACAGGACTGACAGTAAAGCAAATCATACTTATGTGACAGAATACTGAGGCATAGGAAGCAAAACTATTTTTAAAAAGATAGACAGAAATGAGGAAAAAAATGTTCAATACTTAGATAATTTAATTCAAAAAAGGCCAAGAAAGTATTAAAAAGTAAAAGGGTATTATTTATTAATTAAGATAGACCTCAATTCCTACTAAGAGAATATGTAAAGTATCATTATCTGATCATATCAGACATGGGCAATGAATAATGCAACAAAACAAGAAAAGGAAATAAAATGTATTAAGATAGGAAAGGAAGAATTAAGACCTGTCTTTTTTTTAAAGGAAAATATAATTGTCTTAAGTTGAAAATCTCAAAGAATGGCCAAAACAACCTCATGTATTGTGGGCAAACAATTACATACAGCAAAGTTGCAAGACAGAAGCTAGTAATACCCAAAAGCCAATTTTTGGCCAATATACTAGCAAGATTTCAAATGTCATTGGAGCATGAAATTTAAAACACTACATGATTCATATTAGCATTAAAAATATTTTGGTTAAAAAATACTAACAAAACATATATAAGATTTATATAATGAATATTATAAAACTCTAATAAAAAATAAATATTTAATGTTCATTAATGTCATTTCTTCAGATTCAATGCAAATTTTGGCAATTCAGTAGGAAGACTCCCAAGTATTTTGTGGATACTGACAAACTGATTCTAAAGTTAACATGGAAAGGTAAAATGCTTCGTGAGTTACTACTCTAAAGTTACAATAACTAAGACAATGTGATATAGATAACAATCACCCAAACAGATCAAATAAATCAAGGGAGAGCTCAGAAATGGTCAAACACACAAAGTCAAATGATTTTTTTACAAACAAGCAAAAACAATTCAAGGGAAAAAAGATTTTTCCTCCAAATGAACAAATGCAAAAAAAAAAGGAAACTAGCTTTTCAGAAAATTAACTGAAAAAGAATTATACACTTAAAGATAAAATGAAATACTTAAAACTTTTACAATACAAGAAAGAAAAAAAAAAAAAAAAGCTAGCTGACCTGAGGTTTGGTGATGAGACTATATACAGCACCAAAACCATGATCCATGAAAGAAAAATTAACAAATTGGATTTTTGTTAAAATTAAAAATGTCTTTTCCTTCAAAGACACTTTTAATAGAATGGAAAAATAAGCTAGAGTGGAGAAAATATTTTAAAAACACAACTGAAAATCATAAACATAGAACTCTTAAAATATATAAAAAAGAAAACTGCCAAATTGAAATATAGGCATATGAAACTTTGGAAAAGGCAAAACCATGGAGACTACACAAATTTCAGTGGTTGCCAGAGCTTCAGGAGGAATGAGTAAGTGAAGCACAGAAGATTTTTAGGGGAGCAAAATTATTTTGTATGACACTTTAATGGTGTATAAATAACATTATCAAATCCATAAAACTGTGTAACACAAAAAGAGTGAACCTTAAAGTATGGGCTTCAGTTAATAATAATGTATTGATACTGCTTCACTGTAAGAAAGTTACCACACTGAGGCAAGATGTTAATGATCAACTATACCTATTGGAGGGACGACTACATACTACCTGCTCAATTATTCCATTAAAAATAGATTTGTCTTAGGCAGTGTAGTAATACAATGAGATTTACTCATTTGTATGTACTTGAACATTTTTTTCTGAATTTTCTCCAGATCTTTAGGGATAATCTTTAAAAGTAAAGTTTTGAATTTGAACGAAGTAATGAAAATGAAGTTCATTATTTACAAACTGAGAGTCAACTTCTCTTGTAATATTTTGTTTCAAGATGCACAGCTAATCATGGAATGATATCTCTATATTGTATTGATGTCTTAGATTTCATTTAAGAGTATCACAATGGAATTTCTTGAAGAATTATTCATATAAAAATGTTCTTTAAACATTTATATACTTCCCTCAAAGATAAAATAATGAAAACAGTAAAAAAGAGAGAACCTTTATAGAAGATACAAATTCACACTAAGAAAGTTCATATAACATCAGTCTTTATGACCAATACTTAAAGAGACCTTGAATTTTTTATATTTCTAAGATAAAAAAATTCTACTGTCCAGATAGAGGAAAAAAAATGTTACACGTAAACAGAAAACAAATTAGCTACCTGTGACATTCACCTAATACTTTTGATTCACCTCCATTCTAGGTACTTAGGAATGCAATTCCTGGCTCTGTTGAAGTCAAGATTGACTATGCCATTCACTCTATCCAGGGAACTCTGAGGAGATGTACTCTGATCACTGCTAGATGGAAAGTTTTAAGAGCATGTCTATGCCTCACCCCCTCCCCTCCATTCCCTGTGGGGTACCTGCAGAAGAATAGGATGAGATAACCTCTAAAATTTCTCAAGTGATTCCAAAGGGCTGCTTCCCCTTGTTGATTTTTAACAAGCACAGAGCAAGAGCAACAAAAATTTTTTGTTACACTAACCTACTGAAATTTGGTACTTTTATGATTGTGCAGCCATTCCTATGCAGACTAATAACTTATAAAGGCAAAAAAGAAAAGCCTATCCTTCGTATTTCCCCACAAAATGAAAGTAAAATCAGACAGGCCTGAGAGTGCATGTCTATAATCCCACCATGCTGAGAGGCTGAGGCAAGAAGGATCACAAGTCTGAGCTCAACCTTAGTAAATTAGTGACTTATTGAGACTATCTCAAAAACATTAAAAAGGGGATGGGAATGTAGTTCAGTGCAAAGGTCCTGGGTCCAATTTCCAGTGCCACAAAATGAGTGAATGTAATTCCAAACAGGAAAAATGTGATCCAAGAATTCAATTTTTAGCCATGCTGTAAGTTATACAAAACATGTAGTAGCTCAAAAGGATGTTAGTCACACAGTTCTCCTGTAAAAACTACCCAAGCTGACAATGAAGTCAAATGCTAAGGAAAACAATAGTAAAAACTCAAGAATAAGAAATATTAATACAGAAACTGAGCATGAAGATTGAAAAAAGTTAGAACCAAGCTAAAAATTATTGAAAATTTATTATAAAAATCATGTTAAATCTAAACTCTAAATTTATATACTTTAAACCATAACAGAAATGGATGTTAAAAGTAAAACCCTAACTTCCTCACAAATTCCTTAAAAACAACAGGAAGAAAAAGGGAGGAGAAAGAGGCTAAAAAAAGAATTAAGATGTGTTATGCACATGTAACAACTCCACACAAGGAATGTAAACATTATGAACAACAAATATGTAATAATAAAAAGAAAAAAATGTGCCCAACAAAAGGATAAGGTTAGGAGGATCACAAATTTGAGGCCAGCCCGGACAACTTGGGAAGATCCTCTCTTAAAATAAAAAGTAAAAAATGGTTAAGAATGTGGCTGAATGGAAAAGCACCAAGAGGTTTGTTCAATCTCCAATCCCCACACATACTCTCTCTCTCATGTTCTCCCCCATGCCTGTCTCTTACACACACACACACACACACACACATTCTCCCTCCCCTCCCACCCACAGTAATTTTACTTGTAGCTACATTTTAAAGTATCTATTTGGTCAGAAACAAAAATTGATAAAAAATTAATTTTCACATAGAAAACATTAAAAAAGATTTACACAGCTTCACTACTTAAAGTTAATTATCAAAAGTTAGCACCCATAATTTATCTCCTATATTGAATAAAGAATATGAAAAGAAAGAATGAAGGAAAGAAATGAAGGAAGGAAAAAAGGAAGAACATCTTTTTGAGGTAACGAAGCAAATATGATAAAAAGGAAAAGAAAATTACTAAAGACATGAAAAAACTGTTTAAGTTAAATAAAAACGTTAAGTAAATGCAAAGTTAAATAAAAAATTTAAGTAAAAGGAAACAACAACAACAACAACAACAACAACAAAAAGGAAATCCAGAGGGGAAGGAATGTGTGGTTTGCTAATCTATTAAAAAGGGAAAAAACCTTACCTTTGCAGGATTGAAGAATAAATAAAAGAACATTTGTAAAAAGGGCACAAGTAAATGCTCAATAAATGTTAATAGTTTCTTTCTTCACTCTAGTACTTTGAGACAAAGAAGTATAACAGAAAAAACATTTAAAAAATCTGTCATGAGGAAGAAAGGTGAAAAAAACAAAGGTATGTTAAACTCAAATATGTCATCCTAACTTTATAATACTTTTGCATTACCTCTGTAATTAAAAAACAAAATGTTACAAAATAATGAAATGAAAAGCATTTTTCATGTTATCTGAAATGAATGGTTTTTACCGTGGTCTTCCCTGATCCCCGGGGTCCAACAATGAGTACAGAGTTACTTTCTCCATGGAGAGCAGTTCTTTTTAGCAGTTCAATTAAATGTCTAAAATAATATAAATAGGCCAACATTTCAAAATCAAAGCTAGAATAATTTGCTAAGTGGTACTTTTTGAAAGCTGAACTTGCACATGCAATACAAATTCCTCTTCTTTCCCTCTAGGATCTTGACTTAGGCTCTAAATTATATTATATAGATGAACACAAGATAAAAGACAGTATGCCAATAATAATTCTTTGGAAACTGGATGAGGAAACCTAGTAAATTTAGAGCATATCAGGTTTTATGATGGTAGGGTTCAAAGACAACAGTAGCAATTCTTAGGACCCTTGTGTGTAAACGTTCCTTTTTAATTAACACTCTGGTCTTTAACTCCAGAACTGGCTGCCAAGTATTAAGAACAAGAAGGCCAGAATTATCTCCACAATGCAAGATAAAAGAACCAAGGTAAAGGACTTTATCGTTATAAAAATATCTGTACCTTTTTATGCTTCCTGATATTCAATATTTCTATATACAAAGTAAACCTTTAAACTTCTATGAAAGTATGCTTTATATTTAAAATCAAATTGTGTGTTATGGTTTAGATCTAAAGTATTCCCTCACATTCCCACATTCAGAGGAGAGGCCGGGTTGGAAGGGGCATACTGGGTTGGAAAGTGTATTTTCTTTTCTGGCACCTCTCTTCTCTCTGTCTGGCTGCCATTGGATGAACAGGTTTCCTCAACCATGCCCTTCCATCACACCTTCTCTGCCTTGAAGCATGCTATCTTTAGAATGAACCCACTGGAAGCTGTAAATCAAACAAAGCTCTCTTCTTTTAAGTTGTGGATGCTATGTATACTGTCCCAGCAATGGGAAAGTGACTAAGCAATTGTGTGGATTTTTTACAAAACCTAGAGGGCACCTAGTAAGTAGGTTCAAAACCAACAAGGGGCTAACTAGACTTACTTGTATTGTACTTGTACTCCAAATAGGTTACTATGTGGAGTCTGATGACAAAATCTTTCCCGTAAAGTTCTTTGTACCTAATGAAAATAACACGAATAAATATAAGTAAAAAATATTACATGTACAATCAAAACTGAATGAGAAAGTACATTTAGAGAAGTCAGATTTAGGTTTTAATTAATTCAATTCTAAGTATTTGATCTCAAAAGTTTAGCATCATTTTTATGAGTTATAAAATTAATAATTCTTTTTACCTACCAAGTCCCATATGAATGATAAGAATTCAGTTGTGAAAGTTCAAAAATGGGAGAGATTTACTTATATTAAATACAGGAACAACTTGGGGACTATTTCAATGTATGTGAATGAATGAATGAATGAATGAACACTTCACTTCGCATAATGTATTACTCAAGCAATAATGAAAGGAGGAAAGTTTATACAATGCAATATAATCTAATAATGGTCATGCACCATTACTGGTGCATGAATAGTCATGCACATTCAATCTCTAGAGACAATTGAACCGGCTTAACTCAATCACTATCAATCTATACCTGTCATAAGAGTAAGGATTCTGAGGAAAGAGAAATTAAAAGTTGAAGTAGTTTTGAGGATCTATTAGATCCAGAGCATGGCAACACTAAAAGGTTATGATTTATGCCTAAAAAGATATAAAAAGATGTAAAGAAATGACAGATTGAAGAAACACGAATAGAGCATGAATTCAGCATATAAGCAAATAATCAATTATGTGAGAGAAACTACATTTACCTAGTGCATTAGGCAAGGGGTGTAGCTTAGTGGTACATCACTTGCCTAGCATGACTAACATCCTGAGTTCCCCAAGTGGCTCAGAATGAATGAAAGAAGGATGAAAGGAAGGAAGGAATTGCTGGAATGAATTAAGAAAACTTTTCTTATAAACAGTTATATTTTGAGTTTCTTATAAATGACAGCCTTAGATTTAGTTATTAGCTCAGTGGTGGCGCTGCTTGCCTCGCAAGCACAAGGACCTGAGTTTGATCCCCGTTACAAAAAAAAAAAAAAAAAAGTCAGATAATCTAATGATAGTCTTTTAAAAACCAGACCATTGAATTCACTCCTTTTCTGGATTTGCTATTAATATAGTTTTTCAGAGATGAAAAGCAGGCCTGTTTTAAAGATTAAAGCAGTTACTTGAAAGACAATATAGGGATTATATAGGTAGTAGCTGATATACCTATAAAATACTCAAATGGACATATAATATGGACTTTATGATTCATAAAAATACTCCTCTATTTAGGTAAGATCACTACAAATCCAAAGACAAGTGTAATCCTTTCCTTTAAAAGAAAAACAACTGGGGACGGGGATTTAGCTGGGGGCACCGTGCCTGCCTTGTAAGTGCAAGGTCCTGAGTTTAATCCCTGGTACTGAATAAACAAAACAAAACAAACAGAAAAACAGCTCATTAAAATGTATTAGTGAGGCAACAAAGCTGGATGTAGGTTAATTGGGTATATAGATATTAATTTACACTTAAGAACTACATACTTTATATAAAAAGATATGTAAACTGTACCTCAGTTAAAATTTTGACATGGAGTCATTTTTCTTAAGAAAAACAATAAGGTCTTATAAAAGGCTATCAATAACTTGAGTTTTGATTTTTAAAAAATAAATGTAGAAGACAAACCAGGTAACTGAAAATTCAGGGTAGAATTATCTTCTTAAGACCCATTCCTTAGTGGATCATAAACTTAAGGGGGAGAAATATAGACAGAACTTGAAATACAGGATGTACTTAATATTAAATGCTTAATACATTAAGCAAACTGAGAATACAGAAAACTTTCTCAACCTAATAAAAGGTACCTACACAAAACCTAGGGTCAACATCATATATAATGATGCAACACTGAATGCTTTCTCCTTCAGATCAGAAATAAGACAAGAATGTCTACTCCCACCATTCTATTCAACACTTTCTTGAAGGTTCACACCAGGTCAAGTGGCCAAGAAAAATAAGGTATCCAGAATGAAAGGGAAGAAATAAAACTATATCTATCTGCAGATCACATAAGGCATGTTGAATACAGAAAATCTTAAAATAGTGTTAAAGCTAAAAAATTAAATTCAGCTTGGTTGTAAGGAAAAGTATCAGTATATTAAAAACAAATGTAATTCTATATGCTACCTATATACAAAATCATTTAAAAGAACAAAATACTTGGAATAAACCTAACAAAAGAAACGTAAAACTTATATTCTAAAGATTGAAATCTGATCATTTTTAGGAAGATATGGATAATAATTAGGACTCTACTATCCAAAGACAAAGGATAGAATTAAGAGGTAGCGTAAAACATTAATAGAAAAAAAAATCAACTGACAAAGGAAAGTTTGAGAACAGATCTGTTATTCTGTATTTATTTTTGGATGCCTGGCTAACTTTGCTTCTATATAACTGTTCCTATTATCTTATACAGATACCTTTCTAGTACAGATACATCCCCCTAAAAACAGGTTCCTCAGTACTATGAAATAATCAAGTTAAAAAAAGATGACTACTTTGACTATCTCTGATCACCTTTGTATGATAACAAGCTTTAACATTAAAATAAATACATGCTGGTGGCACACACCTGTAATCCCAGCACTCAGGAGGCTGAGGCAGGAGGATAGCTGCGAGTTTGAGACCAGTCTGGGCTATACAGTGAGTTCCAGGTCAGTCTCAACTACATAGTGAGACCCTGTCTCAAAAAACCAAAAAATAAAATAAATACATACTAACCTGTGAAATGCATTCTCCATGTAGTAAGTTGCTGTTCTTTGATTTACGATTGCTCATTTCAACAAATTCAAACCCTTAAAAGAATTTAGGGTGATATAATAATAAACATGATTGGCTTAAAAAGATTTACTGAGAATTTACATTTCTAGAATCAAAACATATACAAGTTTTCCAATGTGAAAATTTTTAAATTTTTCAAACTTAAAAAACCCAATTCCATTTGTTCAACGAGTTGATATCCATACCATAGTTTATGTAATTCTTATAATTATTCTTGCTGTTCCCTTAAGCCTACTAATCATTTTCATTTCCTTCCTTTTCTTTATAAAGAATGTTTCTCCTACCCATTCAACCAGTACAATCATCCCTTACAGGAAACTTTTCCTTTCTTCATCCACTTAATAACCATACACAATCTACAGATGAGATTAAATGTCTCTTTTTAAATACCTGTTTGCAAATACTTTTTATACTCATAATCAAATTACACAAAGAAAAATTAGCTCTTTAATTGTAAGGGTCTCCTACTTGAGGACATTTTTATATTCCAATTATTACATTATGCCCAAAACAAAATTGGCAATGAAGTGATGACTAGAATGAAAAAAATGCTAATCAAAAAAAATTGTTTTGGTTAAATTCCTCTTGAAAATGCCTTTGGCTAAAATAACAATTTTTTTAAAACACAGAATTCTTATGGGAATACTTAAGAGTCAAGTAATAAACAGTGTAAATTTAGGCATCAGACCTTGTTAAAAATGCCTTGCTCAATTTAAACCTAAAACAATCCTAATATGAATTACCATATTCCCTAAGATTAAAACATACAGAAAAGTAGGTAACTTGACCAAAATCAAACAACATGTAAGTGAAAAAATGAGGCTATGAACCCAATCAAGCCATATACTTTTATTTTTAAAAAAAATGTACTTTGAGAAAAAAAACAAACAAAAAAAGAAAAACGAACTTTGATATTTCCAAATACTATCTTCCTGGAGTCTTAATTATGAATCTAGAAGTACCCTCTAATTCTGGTCCAGCCTATCTCCTTATGGTCTGAGTTTAAACCTGCTCCCACAAGGCTACAGAAGACACAGTTGAGTCCTCAGGCATACTAAAGAGTACCAAATCTCAACTCCTGCCCCTCTTGGCACTGCCTACACAAAAGAACTGTTGGGAGATCTGTTTGTCAATGTCAGTCTCCAACAGATGCTAAAACACCTTTCAATCTTGGCTCCAGCCGCACTCAGTTGCAGTTTGACATCAGTCTCCACGGGGAAACTAGCCAGGAGACACACCCTAGCCAGGAGACACACCCTTCTGTGTACCTGGGGAAAGCTTGCCAACTTCAGTCTCACAGCAAATACTCAAACAGCCCTGAATCTTGGTCTTAATCCTTTCAGTTGTAGTTAAAGAACAGGAGTGCCAATCCAGGATACAGAGGGAGGCAGACATCTCAAAACTCCCACAGGCAGGAGAGCCAACCTAGGTCCTACAGCAGGTGAAAGCATCTATAGCCCTTTGCTGGTCAGCTTGAAGGCAGGGTTAACCAGGAAGCTGCTGGGATGTATGACAGTCATTATTGCCTGAGCAGAGTCTCATCTTATGATCTAGCAGTAACCTTTCCAGGGTCCTCTAGAAGTCAGGTCTGCAAATCTGGTAAAAGGACAGTGCTCTGCAGGAACTTGCAACTCAGCCTAGCCATATGGAAGCCAAGTTCTTGGAGACAGTCCAGCCCACCCAGGTACAAGATAAGATTAATGTTCTCTGGAAGTTATGTGAAAAAGCCACCAGAGAAAAACTCCACCACAGACCCAGTGGCAGACACATGATTTGGCTCCAAATAAAATTGACAATGATCTTGGAGAAATCCAATCAGTGTGGGCACCTCAAAACAAAAGACCTTAACCTTCCAAAACCAGTCTGTGAAAACTAGAAATGCCTACTTCTTCAAACACACAGACACTAATACAAGGCTACAAGGAACGAACAGAATCAGATAAGTATGACACATAAAGGAATCAAAGTTCCAACAACTGACCCCAACAAAATGGGAATGTTCATACTGTCTGAAAAGATATCAACATAGTCATCTGTATAGCCCAAGTGGTCCAGTGCATGCTTAGTATGCTCAAGGCCCTGAGTTCAATCCCCAGCAATGGTAAGATTAATAAAACAAGAAGTCATAATAAAATAAAAAAACAAGTTAATGGAGATGAAAGAAAACACAGATAATTCAATGAAATTAGGAAAACAATATATAAACAAGACATTTCATTAATAAATAGAAAACACAAGAATCAAGCATTAATTCTTGAAGTTAGAGTAACAGTACTAAAAGTACAGTTAACAGTACTAAAGAATTCAATAGTGTGTTTTCATAGCAGTCTAGGTTACATGTAAGAAAGAGTCAACAGAGAAACAAAAAGAAGAACAAAAAGAGCAAAGAAAGCACAGGACAGCATCAAGCATATGAATACTGAATGATAGGGATAAGGTTTAAGAAATGCACTGTTAGGCAGTTTCCCTACTTTATTGAAGTGATTAAATACAGTTACATAAGCCTGGATGGTACAGTCTACTATGCACCTAGATCAGTAGTGGTGAACCTGTGGCATGCATGCTATAACCGGTTGTTTGTTATCACTGAAAGCTCTAAAAGATTTGCCATCATTGGCCTAGACTATAAGGTATAGAACTACTTATAGAATAGTTTATCTGGCAGTTACCTACCCAACCAAAATGGCATAGAAAAAGACATTCTCAGGCAAACAAAAACTGAGGAACTCAACACCATTAGACTAAGTTAAGAGAGATGCCAACAGAACATTTTCACATTGAAACAAAGAACACTAATTACAAAGACTGAAAAATATGGTGAATGATAAATTTAAAAAATTATTACAGTAAAAGACACATTGCCATTAATCCTACTCAAAAATACTCCTCCCTCACTTTAACCACTCCCACTGTTCTTGCCACTTTCTGAAGCAGTATGGGAAGTCCCTTTTTTGGTGAGTGTTTTTATGAGGCATATAGTGAATGCTGCTACTCAGTGACATGCATGGGAAAGGCAAGCTCTTAAAAACATTTCATTTTATTCAAATGAGTGCAACTTCTGGCACTTTCTCAATGTCAAACTGACCACAAAAGGTAAAGATTTTCAATCAATCTGGGATATCAAGACAGCCATGTCAACACAACTAAAGACACTTACAAAAGACTTCCAAGAATTGCTTCAAAAGGATAAATGTGCTCAAAGCAAGGGAAAGAATTTTGAGGAAGATTAAAGATGTGTCTTTTATAATAAATTATTTAAATATTGTAATTTTAATATACCTTGTAAGCCATGAAAATATATGAAGGTAAAAAATTTAAGGGCAAAGGTTAATTCAAATTCAGGATACCCTAAAGCCTTTCTATCTCTACCATAAAGGTTAAAATGCAAAACTATTAAAAACAACTCTATAATGATCTGGTAAGGGGTACACAATATACATAATATGTAGGTTATGACATGACATAAAAAAATGTTGGGGAATGAAAAGGTAGAACTTTTGATCGTGATCTAAATTATGTTATAATTTGCTTAAAATAACATGTTAGAACTGTAAAATATTTTATAAACCCTTAATGGTAAACATGAAGCAAAAACGTAGAACAGATGCACAAATATAGAAAAAAGTACAAAGGACTGCAGCTGGAGAGGAAAAAAAAATCTACAGAACTGGAAAACAATTATAAATCAAGAGTACCTTACCTGACATGCTTGGGGCCAGAAATCTCTGATTTTAAAGTTTTTCCTATTTTGGAATGTTTGCATAGACTTTACTGGTAAAGCATTGCTAATCTGAAAATCCAAACCAAAATGTTCCAAATTCTGAAGCTTCTTAAGTATCATATTGTGAGTTCAAAAAGGTTTCAAATTTCAACGACTATAATCCAGCTTCTTGACAGACTACGGCAGGAATATGGCAATTTATAATGAGTCCTTGACTCGAAAATACAAGAACTGGGGAGGTAGCTCTGTGCTGGATTGCCCCTGGGTTTAATCCTCCAATACCACAAAAACAAAAAATTTAGAAGTTTTGAATGTTAGGACATTTCAGATTTTGGACTAGAAATGACCAAACTATAATAAATTAGTACTAAGTTCTTATGTAACAATAATTATTTTTGAATGTAAATATTCTAATCAAAATAGTGTGGCTAAATGAATAAAAATGGCAAGGCTGAACTATGTGCTATAATAGACTCACTTTCATATACTGAAAGTGAAGTGAAAAAGATATCCCATGCAAACAAATGACAAGAAAGCAGGGGTAGTTAAATTCTTCAAACAAAATAGACTAACACAACTGAAAAAGTGTCAAAGGTCACTATACAATGCATTTTGACAAATTCCTCTCATGCACAAAAACTGTTCTCCAGTATAGATATATTAGACTGCACAAGTCTTTACAAATTTAAAATTGAAATCTTATCAAGAATCTTTTTTGACAACAATATTATGAAACTAGAAATTAATAATATATTTGGAATATTAAATGTGGGAATTAAACAAAATGCTCCTGAATAATAAGTTAAAAAAAAAGAAAAGATATCTTTGGAAATAAAAATAAAATACAATATACATTCATACCCCCTCACTCAACTACTTTGAAATTTAAATTGATACCTGTGTACATTTTGATGTAAAAATTTTGTTCTAGTAGTGCTAGCTGTTTGATATTCCACTGGCTGGCTGGAATTTGCCAGTGTTCACTGTCTCCTAAATAGCTAATCTTTCTAGCCAAAACAGTTTGTTACTCATTGGTTTCTGGTATTCCTAGAACCAATTAACAATGAATAAGGAGGCATCACTGTGCCAGAATTATGGGATGAAGCAAAAGCAGTTAGAAATGGGAAGTTTACAACATTAAATACCCACATTAAAAAAAGAAGAGGTTTTAAATAAAGAGCCTAATAAAGCTATGCTTTAAGAGATTGCAGAAAGTTAGTAGAAGGAAATAATGTAACAGAGATCAGAGCAAAAATAAATGAAATACAGACTCTGAAAACAAAATCAAAACTA